ACATTGCCGGGTAAACCAGGTTCTGTGTGGGTGGTAAGTGCGATTTGCAAATGTTACGTGTTGTTGGGAAGGAAAAACAGTATTATAATCGTGTACACTGACCAGGAGAATGGCATTAACAGTCAGCTGTTGTTTTCTGTATGCCCTGAATAGCCTCCCCAGATCTCCCTATGGTGCAATTTCATAACATCAGATCGAGATTTAGAACATTCAACTTATTGATGACATAATAGTATTAGTAATGATTAACTATTTTATACTCTTAAACTTTTACATAACTAAACGATGTGTTAATTACTTAATGTCAATATGTACATTGCTGTGATAAAGTACTTAGTCATAAAGTGAGCCAAGTTAATCCATCTCTCTCGTGGATCTGCTTTTTCATCGATTCTCCCAATATTTAGTTGAATACTTGCTACATAGCATCCTACTTGTCATCAAATTGTGAGTCACTGGAAGATATGTGGGTGCAGGATTTATAATTATGTATTTATATTTTGTAAAAGTAGTTAATAAATAAATCATACTCGGATTGATAAAAATGATATATAAATATTAAGTGAGTAGTACCTGTATCGGTATCAAAAGGTGAAATTAAATACAGAATTAATCAGCATTAGTAAAACTAAAATGTCTCTATTTGAACGCTCACTCACATGTACAAAGTTTATATTTGCATTTATATGCATTGTTTCCGTACTATATCATATCGACGGATTTCACGCAAAGTGGCACAAGTATCCTGAGCCCCTTCCTTCATTTATCAAGTAATAATAATCTTTATATAGTCAAATGTAAGCGCGAATTTTATTTCCATCATAATTGTCATTCACACTAATATATTTTTTCCAGACTCATATAGTATACATCACCATATATGACAAATGGTCAAAGTTCGGATTCTACAACAGCCTCCATGTTCGAATATGTTCATATGTGGATATATAAAGGCCTAGGCATTGACACATAAAGACAATTTATTGAAGGTAAAATGTTACTCGTTTACATGTGGTAAAGGAAAACGTTCAACTCTACCTTGCTTCAGATCGTCTATTACAATTCACAGGTTTTTTTTAACTATCATTGATTGGTTGGTTTTTTGATTTTATACTCAGACTCAGCAATACAATTTGAAACGCATACGAATTTGTTACAGATCGGTGTAAAATATGTAGTAGTACATTTCCAATTGTTGAAATGTGTGGTTTTTTTAAATATACAAACAATAATATGAACAATGATATAAAAGGATGTCTCCAAAACATTCAAGGCATTTAAGACTTCAAGTGTTCATAATTGCGGGATGCATGGAATATATAGTGTCTGACGGGTAAATCTTAACATATTCACAGAACTGAATGGGGTTTGACATTGTGTATTTAGTTGTACGGTTTGTTTGTAGTTTGCACTTTTGTGGGAGTCGAAATATATATTATATGGCATGAACCGACCAAATAACAGAAACAAATAACAACACCATTGTTTGATACTGTTGGTTAGTGTTTAATTGTTTACCGGGAATTTAAAATGTTTCCTGTGAAATTTTCTGTAATATTCGTTCGTTGAACAATAAATTTGTCAATTTATTAACTTTCAAACAAAGCAAACACTCTGTAGCAATCGTCATATTTGTCTTGTTAGGTTTATATTTAATATATTTATATTCATATAGTTTAGTACTTTTCTTACAAGGCAACGCAAGACTACATATCTGATATCAAACAACGTTATTCAGTTGTTAACATATTATGATTCAATTTATTGTTAACGTGAATGGCATTTTAACAGTTGTTCATACTAAATTTATGATGAGAATACTTCATACCATGTCTTCCCCACGTTGTAGCTCGCTTTCTCTTGAGAAAGGTGTGTGACAGTTGTGACCCCAAATCGAAACGCACGGCCAAATGAGCAGCTTTATTGCTGTGTTGCTGATTTGGTGTTTGAGTTACATATATCCACAGGTTGAACCAGCTATCGGCGAAGTAAGGGGTACACCAGGTGCACACTCCCAAATGCCGTCTAAATCGATATTTTTAAGATCAATTCAAACTGTTCAGAAATAATCACATACAAACTTGTTTGATTATTACAAACCATAAAACTATTATGAAAAGAACTATCAGATAAAAATAATAATATTCCTGATATTTGTAGTACGAATACAAAAACGTACGGTTATTTGCTGTGTTCCCCGAAGCACTTCTTAATGTTTCTACTGCATTCTGTTCTGCAAGTGAGCAGATCTGTGTGGGCCTTTCATTAATGGCAAATAGCTTGTATCTGGGTATATGTCATAGAACCAGTCACTATATCATAGTTTACTCAAAATTAAAATTATTAATGGTCATATTAGTCATAATTATATCGTACGTTATTTAGTGTCTGTATGATACATAACTTATATTTACTAACTAGTCTGTAAAAGTGACTGAAATGCCGCTAAAATTAACGTCGTGTTTTTATTTCGATATCCCTTGTTTAGAGATTATCGACACTGTGATATCAAATTTACCCGATTTATGTAGCAACAAGCAAGTTATAAAAAAAATAATGTACAAGCTTATTTATGCTCATATTGTAGGTTAATAAATCTGACAACTCGTTCAATCACAGCTTACCTATGAGTAAATGTAACTAATACTCTGGCGCTATTGCCTATTATTTGTACACCCCTCTATCCCACCAGTAACAACGCATCCCACAATTTGTCTCACTGACAAAACCACAAGGATCTTATTTAATAATAGCCAATGTACACACACTCGCAAAAAGTTCGACAACATAACCATCATCTCAAATTCCTTATTTGTTTTTATTTATATTTATTTATTAGTGTGAATTATTCACACGTCAAGCGTCATGGAACATGTTGAGAGTAACTGTGTACGGTTAATGAGTAGCGCCCTCAATGTGTTGTTGAGCTGACTGGTTGACCTTGTTCCGTTAATTTGGCTTTGACATTGCCTTCCGTATTCACAACCGTCTTGATATCATATCCATATGTGTACAGTGTAGAGCCAGGTAAGCTATTCATTTTACAATATTGGAGTATATCGTGAGACAGGGAGGTGGGAATGTCCGTAAGTATATTTTAACCAGGTTCAGTAAATCATTAGAAAAGGGAAGGTAGTTGCGCCGCCAGTAGTGGACTCCCAACGTCGTACTCAACACATGTAAACACATCGTTTGTTTAATCTATTCAGGCGAAACGCGTTGCTAACTCATATTCAGTGGAATTTACACTTCATCTGACAGCACAGGCGGTGGGGTCGTTGGTGGCACGCCGAGGGTAACGCATATCGTTGCAACATGGCCGTCAATCTGATTCAAATAAGATCCTAGTTTTGGCCAATCACAGCCCCCCTTTTATAAATGCTGTCGGTTGCTTACAATTCATACTTTTCAGTGTAGCGATACTCTACGAGAAATCTTTCTGTACATTATATTTTGCCCACTCGAATAAACCATTAATAGAAAATTACTAGTATATGTTTTATTTACAAATATAGATTCCACAGCATTTTACAATTTGTGTCATTATATTGACTATTTTGTTCACTTCCAACAAATGTGTACACTTCCCGATGCATCTTCGCCAGCCATGGTTCGTTTATTCAGTCATCGCTTCAATTTTACACTGAGCATAATTATCTAGAATGGAAGCAAAAAATAAGTAAATCATAATGATTAGAACACTGTAAAAAGCTATAGTCGGCTGTATAGTAAACAATGCAAACTGATTTTAAATTGTATATTGGTCATCGGACCATCGCATCGACGCAAACAATATTTCCTGATCACTTCTAAATACAATTTTTATTATTCCAGTTCAAATCAGCTCAAATACTTTTATAAAGAATTATTGTATAATGTACAAAATGTTGATACATTTTGATGAATATTTAAAGCTACAGCTTCAATACCGTAGGCGATGTTGGCCCGATCGTGAACAAAACATCACTTGTCTCCTGGGCAAGCGACTGGAACAAAATACCGGTCTTCGGTCGAACCGGTGGAAAAAAAATCGTTATTCCCGGAATAACTACGCAAAATAACGACCTAAGCTGGAATCATTCGAACCACAATATAAACATAAAAATAAAAGATTACTTTCGTTAGATTTGACAATGATAAACTTAGCGAAAAGTCGTATTTTCCTCCTATATTTTCGTCGCTAACGTCGGTATAATCCGCCATTTTATTTGAGTGTGTTTGCGACCTGACTCTGTCCGGTGATGCCATTAGGTGCGCTATAAATGGAGGTCTGTGATTCGTTGACTAAAATTTTATAGAAATCACAAAATCAAAATCAATGGCCGTGTGGTTGAAACTTGCAATTGGTCATGGCGTGACAGAGGAGGAAGACATCATTTAACACTCACAAAACGCCAAGGGTACGAATCCCACTGGATAAACGCTCAGAAGAACTAAAACAATCGTTTTTTGCTTTCCCATTAAATCGGGGGAGTCGTCACCTGCGCATGCGTCAGATGGCCATTTCGTGTCATTATTTAGGGCTCATACCACTAAACTCCATAGACGACAATGTTAACATGTGACTCCATAGACGACAATGTTAACATGTGAGGAGATTCTATATGAAAATTATGAACAAAGACATGAGACCTGTAAGAGACACAGGAAGCTGTATGGTTTCATAGTACTGTTTTAATCTGAATACATTTGTTATTTCATTGTTATGATTCATACCAAATCCTGAAAATGCTGTATAAAGAAAACCCCAAACAATGGAATCGTCTTTGAACAAATATGTAATTTTATGGAATTACAATAAAATGAACAATGACTATTCATGAGCACAGGAACTGCCACATCATAAATAAATTAGCATAATTTTGAAAAGATTTGCATAAAGTGTAGGTACGTCTTCTGAAATTGTGTTGTATATATGTCTACATACGTGTTTTGCTTTTTCTTCCAGTGATTCTTCAGTTAATATCAAACTGTGATGTGTACTGTCTTCATCCAAGAGAATGACTGAAGAACAAACAATAAGTGTTTGCTGTGAAAGAACAAGTAATCCTGTTCAAAAAGTGCAAAGTCGGACAGTTGAAAAATGGAACGAAAGATGGGAGGAAGGGAAAACATCATTCCATTTACCACATGTACACAAGTAAGTCAATTGAAGTTGCCTGTGTATTTTAATTGGACATGTGAGCTTCTAGCCGAATGGTTATTCGTGGCTGCCCATCATCTGTTCGTTCGTCAATGTTTGCAATTTGAGTCATGAGTCATAGTATGTGTTGCATGAGAGATTGACCAGTCTATTAAAACAAATATAAGAGAACAAAATGTTTACAAGCAATTGCCGGTATAACTATTGGCAAAACTCTTCTGGTCATCCCCACAATTTCAAATGTTTGACTTCTAATAAGTTTTTCTGTCATGTTCCAGATTATTAGCAGAACACTCAAAGACCTTAATAAATGGAAGAAAAGGAATTAAAATACTTTTTCCTCTGTGTGGGAAAACCATGGATATGAAATGGTATGTATAGGTTTATGCACCGCTCGGCTTTTGGCCACAAGACAACTAATAGATTCACTGTACATGTATCCTCACAAATAAATGCATGCTTGTTTAATCACCTCGAATATCTTGTGGCAGGGGTATGGGTATCAAAATAGTACACAACTTTAATCACTTGGATTGTACGTAAGGAAAAACTGCTATAATTGCCTAGATAATAAATAATAAAAATATAATAAAGTATCATTTTGTTAACACATTTATATATGAGTATATGAAATTCAGTTACAAAGGGTTATTCAGATTCCACATAAGTTATGTTGGTTTCTGTGTACTAATTTGGGTGTCTGTGTATTGGGTATTGGTGAATGCTTCAACGTTTGGTTGTATGTCTCTAATTTCAAACATTCATTATATGATTCAAGCGAGTTGATGCAAAAAAAATACTTTTGAACACTAACTCAATGTGCGAAATGAATCACAGTTGGAAACAATTTATAACATAAACCGATTCACAAGTCTCTCGGATAACTATTTGTTTTTTGTAAGATGGTCATGTTTGCATGATTTTTTTGTAGATTTAGGGTTCGTATAATATAATGTAGAAATATGTATGCACTTGTAATCATCTTTATTTTCCAAAGCATTCACTGAAATAAAAAAAAAATGTTTTATTAACTCACCCATAACCCGATTCAGGTTGGCTGACCAAGGACATACTGTCATTGGTGTTGAAATATCTAACATTGCCATCCAACAGTTCTTTGTGGAAAACAACATAGAATACACAATTAACCATGTGGACGGTTTGGTAAAAGGAGAAGTATATCAGGTGAGAGTAGATCAGACCCAGGAGTGTATTTTTATTTCTGTTTTTTTACGATCGTATGGGAGCTTGTGAATGATGGTAATTTAAGTGTATGTATTACATTTTAATAGCAAAGACTAACTTACAACAAAGGGCGTTCATTGTACAATGTTTTGAACGAAACCGTCACTATACCAACTAAACATGAACATTTTCAGAACATTAAATTTGATCAAAAACGTATTTAGTAAGTATTTTAGCAACCTCCTGATTCTAACAGAAAAAAGCCATAATTAATCGCACCCTAACATCCGAATACTAAACAAATTGAACTCATGTGCAAATATTCAGGTTCGTTAGAATGATCTCAATACCTGAGTCGAGCATATTCGTGGTACCTCGGTGTTATTTGTTTGTTGATGCGAATTTTAAGATATTCACTCGATCTTGTATTTTTACGTGTGCATACACCTGCAGTCCACCTGCAGTTGTAATGTGCGGCATTACACATGTCATAAAACATATTCTGTAAGGCAAATTATATTCAACTCAGTTGAGTGAGATGTTGTCAAAAGAAACCCACAATGAAAATGTTAAAAAATATACATGAACATGTATATGTAGCATACACATTATTTTTTATTTATTTAAATCGTACAATACCAGTTTTTCCAAGATGCAATATCAAAAACAATTATTAACACAAGCATGTTCCAAAATATTCCTTTCTTCTAAAGGCATATGTGTTACATAACTATTCAAAATAAATTGTAAATTGTTCAGGACAATGTATTTTGTCTTCAGACTGTTGTTATCCTGCCAAACCTGCTTTTCTAAACGAAAAATGTCTTTATTTTCTTTTTAGAGCAACGATCGTAGAATACAGATATATATATGTAGCATATTTGACATATCAAGGTCTGTGACATATTTATATACCGATATATAAAACACAGCAATTAGTTTCGAACAAGCATGTCTTACTTTGTACTATAAGGGCACAACACAGTATCACATCTTTGTTGCCAGCATATTTTGACAATATAGACAGTTAGGAAGTAGGAGTGTATGGATATGTAGCTCATATACAATAGTTTCATGTTGATAGTGTACTCCAGCTGGTAATAATAATACTTTTTCACATATTGGCACACTTTTCAGAATTAGTTTTCAATGACAATATAACGTATATGTATTTCACAGTGATATAATTGGTCAAGTTGATGCTATATGGGATAGAGCAGCATTCAGTGCTATCATGCCATCAGAAAGAGAAAAGTAGGTTTCGTTTGAAGGTGTATAAATCAGGGTCATCGCAAATATGTTTGGTGGAAAGAGTGATTTTTGTATTCATATTTAATCCTTGAATCCTGAATTACAGATACCGTGATGTGATTATTTCAACTATGAATGCATACACCAGGTATTGCCTTATTGGAGTAGACTTTGATCCGTCAGTCAAGCCTGGTGAGTTGCATATGACCATGGTGTATAACATCAAGGAAAAGCATGAAAATGTGCTTTAACCAGTTATTAACATATTTGTCATCGATGCATATATCAATAACTTCGCATCTGCACTGTACGCGAGTGATTAATATAGAGTAAAACCTGACATACAACAAGTGGTAATTTATACATTTATGACATTTGACCTATATTTGCATACAGTATAAAAGCGAGACACTAACTTGGTAACTATGTTTCTTAGAATGTTAAGCTGTTGATGCATCATACAGGAAGTCTGCAAATAAAGTATATAATATATATTATATATAGGCAAATGCTATTTTTATTGTAAAAGTCGTGCATGACAGTGTGTGGCTACAAACTTGAATGCAGTAACACAGTCATACATATTGGGTTTTCAATACCTGAATTTGATTTTGATAGGACCTCCATACCATGCCCCGGAAGTGGCTGTCGAGCAAACTTTTGGTGAGTTGTATTTGTATTTTGCGCATATGTAATAAATATGCAAATAAAATAAAATAATATCAGTCTTCTTTTAATTTTGACTAATTTAGAGTAATTTATCTTTTGAAATAAATGTTCTATCATGCAATATGAAATATTATATGTATGGATCCTTAGATGCATGAACTGTTAGTTTTGTAACCCACTGTATTCTTGCTGTCACACTTTTTCGCAGGCGCTCACTTGACTATTGAGAAGATTGGAGAAATGGCCGATTTACGTGAGAAGTGGGTTAAGATGGGTCATAAGTACTTCACAGATATTCTATTTCTATTGTCATTGAAAGCATAAATTGTCACAAGTTAATAGATGCGTTGTTATATATTGTTCGTGGTTATTTGGCAATAAAATACATATATCCAAGTTAAGAGTTGATATAATAATTCTCACTTTACATTGTTTTAAAATGTCCAGTGATTTATGGCAAAAATCGCTATTGTAAATTACACATGAATATTAGCTGTATGTACGATTACCACGAGTCTAGAATAAGTTTCAGAGATAATGATTGACAAATTTTCGTTAGACGAGTCTTAAACTATATTGAAACTTCAAATAAACGGGCGGGCCTAAATTTTTCGTTCCCAGGAAACCCATGTATAAGCTGACACATGGGAAATAAAATCCCCAAGCAACGAATTTAGTCATTTAGTCAACGAACAATCATAGATCCCACCTCAAGGATAATTAAGAGGAATATATTTTACTTCCTATAAATTTCCTATCAGGACATCTCTTCCAGCGATCATCTCAACTTTCCTAAAAAGAAAATTGGTTACTGATTCCGGTATGCAATATACAGTAATTTAAATAATACTGTACATGATGCTTTTAAATATACCAATCAATTATGTTCAAGTAAATATCGACTGTAACTATGCAAATTAACAATTTGTGTATGAAGTGAATGTGGGTTTACAATGTTCGAATGGACAAAATGGTCATCAGTTGTCGAATACACATTCTAATACACCAGATGAACACAAACTGTAATAATTTGAAATCTGTGTTTGTATACATGCAAATCAGAACACAACAACGAGCAAGTAATCGAGATGTAGTTACTTTTTTACGTCACTTGGAAATACTTCATTTTATTCATTAAAGCTTCATCATTCCTCATAACCTGTTAAGCGATGTCATACATGAAAAGGCTACATTAACACATGTCAGGCTCACATGGTATATCCTTTGGTAAAATCAATGATAGAAATGTATGAGGCCTATCATAGTGATAGTGCTATTCAATTATTTCGTTATCACATCATGCAAGTGTTTATATCCTAAAACATTTGTTATAGTTCAGTTTAATAGTGATCGTTTTTCTGCATGAATGTCATTGAACCAAAATATCGTTTCTCGTTTTCGTGCATTTTGTGATTAGTCTGGGTTTCAACTGCGATGGAGTTGCGTAACATGCATTTTCGAAAAGGCTATGCAGTGCAACACAATAAACCCAACAATACAGTCTATATATAATATATTTGAATCAAAATTATATATAAATAAGTGATGCAGTCTCGTATTGTATATGAAATAAATTTAGGGTTAATTAAAATGATATTACAAATTATTAAGGAATTGTGTATTTATTTCAAATAATTTGTTTTTTTACATTTACATGACAAATTCGTTATATATAACACATTTGAAGCCGTATATGAATAAGTAATGAGCTCTCTTTTATTATATACAAATAAGTTCAAAAAATATTTTTTTCTTAAATCGTGAAATCATTACATATAATCTGCGTATATCAATACATGCAACGACAGTCCGTACAAAACACATCAGAAGAAAGAAAAGGTGTCTTACCGAACAAGTGGACAAACATTTTCAATCATCGTATATCGGCGATCAAATGATAAGTCAGCAAACACATCGGTGAAAGTTGAATTAATAAAATAGTGGATTATTTTGTATATTCTTTCTATACAACAAAGTTAAACTACGTACCAACATGTGTTTTAGAGGCTGCCTGTACAATAATCTTCAGCAGAACATTCCAAGTTCTCGCCCTCAGAAATGTCGTCGAAAAAACAGCTCAAACTTGTATGGGTCTATTTAATTTCTCGGAATAGTTGAACAAATAAATGTTCAGTGTCGTCGCTACTTTCCAACGAGATAAAATAGCAACGCTTGACTTGACTACGAGTTATCCGGCCCGGGCGGACAACGCTAAATGGTCCGAATTTGATCGTAAACGTAGTATGAGATATCAATTTGTGTTTTGAAAAGGGTATCACCGTTGTTGTTTTTTTAAAATGTGGTGTCTGCATAATGCAATTATTTGTGGCAATAATACCGACCGTTGCAATAATACCGACGGAGTTTATGGCACTATATTTAGATTTGTCATACTGTGACATATATACCCTGTGTGTAAATAAATGTGTGTACACTATAGCATCTTTACTGTTTTCGAATTCCAGGTACATAACAAAGCATATAGTACACGTGAATCTTATTAATCCTGCATGCGTACTATTAATGTTACCCCATGATAGCATTACCGATAATAATGTCGTATGTGTATGATATACGTTTCAGTTTTACCAGAGATGTGCATAATATTGATTGCGTGTTCGTATTATCTAGAGATAAGCAAGATTAAAGACAAAAACAGTTCCATCACTTTTCAGAAATAGCATTTAAGATACATACGGTTTCATTTTTATTCATGTCTTTTTTATGCCAAAGGTTAAGCTTCATTTTCGCTATATTTAAATTTGTGTTTTTATCCTCATCATCTTTACTGGTTTGCATTCTCCGGGTGTATAACGAAGCATATGGTACACGTGAAAATTATTAATCTAAAAATAAACAGCTCAATACATGCAAAAAATTGCGTCAGAATCACAAATCAGTAAAAAGACACTTACAACTTGTCAATTAGAAACCAAAACAGCGCAATTTAGATATATGCCTGATATATATGAATATCATTTTTTTCATTCTATTTTATTCTTGAGAGCTGCAAATGTGTATGTCTTGATCCCTGAAATGTTACGAAAACTTATTTGGGGGATAAGGCAAATATGGTTAAATAAAGAAAATAATGATCATTGTTTTGTTGGTGAGGTGTAATTTGTGTGATGTATATATAAGCCCTTCATTGATTTTTTTAAATGCATGCTTGCTTACAATTCCTGTTTTAATGTTTCAGTAACAATTGTCTGCTGTCAAGACAAATTAATATTTATTGCTAAGGTCGAAGATTAAGCCATTGAAACAAAAAAAAAACATTATTTTAATATGCAGTGTATGTTTTAATTTGGTTTGGACCAAACACAAATTATCAGAAATTCACATATATAATATTTGAACATTAATTGTTGTAATCTAACACAAAACATTAATTTAATATGCACTCTATAATTTAACTTGATTTCAAACAAAATTATTAGAAATTCACGTATAACAATTTGAGCATTGGTTGTTCCAATCCAATTCATTAATAGGTTCAATATGAGAATAGTATTGTATTCAAACAGTGCTTAATGAAACAGATATATAAATGGATGCATACAAATTATAATAATAAGCTACGATTGAGTTAATTAGACACTTCTCTCCCCAAAAGTAATCAGTAGTTATGTGGACGATTTTAAATTTTTTGACAAAATTAATTTACATAATATTACTCTGCATGAGTTAAATGGTACCATGAAAATAAAGTATTATTAGATTTTCCATGATCCATTTGAAGTACAGATATAATCCCAAAACGTTTGAGGTTTTTTGTACATTATAATTACTGAAAAAATACATTGTATGATCTTGAAAAGTATTTACATAGGCACATGTGTTTCTAATGAAGCTGATGCGATTCTGATATATTTGTGATCATAACTTCTTTGCGATGATTGCTATAAAATGTACGTTCAGAAAAGCGTAAATATAACTCGTCTATCTAGACTCTATTTTTTTCAAACTAGAACTTTGACCCTGAGATTTTCATATATATGAGGAGTCACTGTATCCAGTTTAGAAAAATATTGATTTAAAAAATGGAGTGAAAGTGTCCAATTGCCGTTATTTGTATTTTTGTAATCATTGGTTTTGTTAGAAATTACAAATTCTGTAAAAATTATTCGCTTCATTCTGACTTTATACCTAACAATCACTTTGTCATAAATTCGAAGATAACTGAGAGTGAACAATTTCATTTTTTTTGTGTAAATTCGTTTTCTAGTTTGCATAATAGTTAAATATTAAGCTTAGTATATCTGGCTATTGCAAGCAGTGATATTGAAAACTTCCTTAAGTACAAAGTTTTACAGTTTAACATATGTAAAATTAACCAACCACGCTAACGTTGTCAACACTGCAATTGTAAATAATGACAGTGAACCAAGCAAATTAAAGTTGTCAATAGTGCATTTAAGAAACAATGCTGATTTTTTTTGTATCGATATTCAAGCAGCTACGCTGACTTTGTCAATACGGATTTCTATTTCCCATTTATCAACATGGATGCCAAAATTTAATTAACATACAATGAAAACAAACCAACAATTAATATAGGAGCTAATAACATGTAATGTTTCAAATAACACCACAATGTTTGGGTGTTGAAACATACAAAGTATGTCAATGGAAAATCTGGTCGTGTCAACTAACGAATAGCATTACTATGCCTGACAAGGTACACCAATAAAGCAAATGGTATAGATGATCTTAAAAATATTCTGTATCATTTAACTATCAAAGAGAATTTTATTACAGAGTGTATGTATACTAATTGAAATCGCTATTACGTTTATTTTAGAAACTTCTGACAGGATACATTAATATATCAACCGATTTACTCTCTGAATGTCAACAAATAGACGCACTCCTTGAAGTAGGTATGACCTCTTTTTAACCATTTTTCTTCCATGCGATTTCTCTCAGCAATCTTCTCAATTTTTAGAAAACTCCCTACAACGACAAAAGAGTACAGGTAATTACTGTTTCCATTTCGCACTGTATGGCTATATGACTATAGATGTAGTTGTTGACTATAGATAATGCTTGCAATTATACCAACCAATTCTGTCTAAAGTACATGACTGGAAGTAAGTTAACTATTGTCTAGTGAACCTTGTTTTATTTATAAAGTGACCAATGCATTGCTCGATCGCAATTTTTAAATATTACAGTACGTTTCATATTACATAAGTTTGTCCTTAATCTAGGCTGTGTGGTTGCTTTCCTAAATAAAACGTTCTGCTCAACTTTAGTCTAGTGAACGCTTGTTTTATTTATAAAGTGACCAATGCATTGCTCAATCGCAATTTTTAAATATTACAGTACGTTTCATATTACATAAGTTTGCCCTTAATCTAGGCTTTGTGGTTGATCTCCTAAATAACGTTCTGCTCACTTTCTTTTTCAGAATGAAGATAGGAAAAAACATACTCTCCCATAAGTAAGGTTAAATCCACTAAACCACTACAGCTGCACCCGCAATAATAAAATGCTGTTTAACTGCAATTATTTCGTCTGATTTAAATATGAATATTCAATTATAGTGTCTGTTTTAATTATATAATTAAACGCATAAATTCAAAATAAATGTTTATTGGTTCTTATAATTTGCTTTTCATCGCCCTCAAAATATGCTTCCCTTCCCAAATAAATCTATTTTCAGGCTCGCAATTAGTATTACAATATCTTATCTTACCATAGACGTCTTTAATTTCGCTCTCCAATAAACAAACTGGAGGGCCTGGAAATAAGTAATTGGAGAATATATACATATATATATTATTTACTGTGTAATATTACTATTATACTAATAAATACATCTTAGCATGACAAACATTTGTATAATATTAACTTACCACTTGACTTCGATTTATCATATTCCACACACACTAGCAGATATCGTCCAGTTGGTTTCAACACTGTTACCATGATATCACAATATCTGGAAAACAAAATGTACGTCAGTTTTCGGTTATAAATTCCAATCCTTCGGATGAACACACACTATATTTTATGGGACAATTCTAGTGACATTCTAACATCCGTCGTATATTTTTTTTATATTATACTATATTTCGAGAACTAGTTGAAATCACCAAAATTACAGAAAAATAAGAATAAATACCAAGAAAATGTACATAATGAATATAATAAAAAAACTTGGCTCAGCCAAGTACTCAAAAGTGTACTATATTTCATTACATCTGGGCTATAAATAGTTACATATCTAGATAAATCAGTGTCTTTTTTGGAATAAAAGTCTCTACTTTTACTTGGTGACGAGGTCCATCACTGAAACGGTTTTCATTGTTTGTTTATTCGCCACAAACTATAGACAGTACCGTTGTTTTCAATTATATTACCCAAGACGCGATAACGACGAGGAAGGCTGAATTAGCGCTAACAAATCAGAATGCTGTACACTCGTCATACGCAGAGAGTACAGCAAGTATACCCCGTAAGTAAACTAATCCTATCACAATGGCCCCGAACCGTGTTTAGAAAAAAAAAATGTTGCAGCTTGTTAACCTAACAATCGACGTAAGCGATCGTAAAGTCCGAAACACACTTGAGCTATACTTGCCCCCCCCCTTTCGCTACCTTCAGTGAGGTCACGGAATTATTTTTTGATCAACCAGATATCATGAATATTTTTATTTAAAAAACCTTGTACACACATGAGCAATTACCTTTCCCTTGCTGTTGGAAAAATGGCAGACATTGCACCTTTGTCCCAGATACCGTCAAATTGTCCAATCATATCTCTAGAATGAAAAAAAGAATAAATCAAAGAAAGCTCAGAAAGAACTCCCGTGTGCTGAGAGTATTAGAGACACAGTAAAAATACTTGTACTTAAGATATTGATGGGAGGGCTGAAAACTATTAAGGTCTGTGCAATGTAACAGACCATCTATATACCAAGTTTCATTGAAATGTGATCAGAACTAAACAATTATGAATTATTATGCCAATTACGTAATTTATATGAACAGATTTTAACTCAAAACTAATCATACTTGTACATTGTTCTACAGCATCTATGTACAAAGTTTAATTTTAAGGTGGTTATTAGTACTCGAGATATCAGTGAAAAGCTGAAAATTAAATAATTATGTAAATAAGTTAATTAATATGCAAATTTATTTACCTAAAAACTAATCAGATCTCTGCATAGTCCTAGAGGATCTTTGTACCAAGTTTTAGATGATTAGTACTTGAGATATACGTGAAAATCCGAAAATTAACTAATTATGCAAATTAGGTGATTAATATGCACAAATATTTATCCCCAAACAATCGATTTCTGCATAGTCCTTGAGTATCTATGTACCCTGTTTCATTGAAATGTAATGCTTACTACTTGAAATATCAAAAGCTGAAAATTATGCAAATTAGGTAATTAATATGTACTGATATTACCCTAAAGACTACTAGGTCTGTGACATCTAGGTACCAAGTTTCATTCAAATGTGATGATTAGTCGTTGAGATATCAGTGGAAAAGCCGACAATTTTCAATCATTATGCAAATTAGGTAATTAATATGCACAGATTTTCACCCAAAACTAATCAAAACCTGGCATTAGTTCAGAGCATCTATGAATCAAGTTCAAAATCCAACGAGTGGTTCTTTAAATATCAGTGGAACAGTCATGGAACAGCTAAAAATTATCAACAAAAAGTATCATGCAAATTAGGTAATTAATATGCATGGATTTCTACCAAAACCTAATCAAATCTGCGCATTGGCCAAGAGCATCTATGCACCAAGTTTCATCAAAAACCGATGTATGGTTTTTGAGATGTCAGTGGAACAGACGGACCACACACACACACACACACACACATACACATACAGACAGGGTAACTGCAAAGACTCCCATTGTGTGCTTCGCACATGGGAGTCAAAAAGGGTTGACCAGATACAGAAATTCAGATGTGGTGTTTTCAGTGATGAGTGATATTCCAGGTCCATATTCGATGATCCCATTCAAAAGATCTAGGTTGGCATTTGTATATTCGAATTTGCATTTGAACTTGATTTCATTATTCATTGTAGTGTATATGTACGCATTATCCCAAAGACATGATTGCTCTGCTTTCAGAAAAGAGAATGAAACGGACGAGGCAAGAGGCCACACTTGCCATTATCATTATCAACTGAAATCATGATTTAGCATTTATCACATCTGGTAGTTGATTTGTTTCCAGTAAGAAATTCACCTCCTCGAAACAAAATGTATAAGAGACAGAGGAGACTTCGTGCAAATTTACCATGTCAGAGCAATGTTCCTAGTGAATCATGTTTTCATGATACCTACCGAGTTATATCGAAGATATCACATTTGTAAAGTTGAATTCTTCCATCACTACTCTGGGGTTGAAAATGCAATGATTAGTATTGGGCAATCCAATTTTCATATCTATGTTTAGGTGCGGATTATAGGTTGGCTTGCACACAACTATGAAATGTGTTTTGTACTAGTTACAGCAGAATCACTGGATACTCAAATAGCACAATGTGCTGCAGATGTACTAGACAATATTTGCACAGGAAATACATACATTATAACATTTAAACTGTTTCAACGATGTTTTACAGATGTTTAACTTATGTCATCGGAAATGCCTGTGGCCCTGTAAATTAGGTTGAGGTAGTACCTGCTGACAGTTGGTTTTGATATAAAAGACTTGCATTATTTCTCTATATACGAGTCACAAACTATATTTTGCATATGTGTACACAATTTTGTCTGTCACTGGTCACTTATTCGAGATGTATAAACATGTGTATAACATATATATGTCGCATGTTTAAATAAACATATTTTCCCCTAGGGAGTTATGTAAAGATAGCTATTGGTATGTCATCCACATAACTAACCAAGATGAATATTGAAAGTGATTAGTCATTAGATACATTTCAGATTAAAATTACATTGTGATTGCGATATAATCCTCACCTGGTACAATTCTCCATTTTCCAAACCTTTAACAGTACTCATAGTGTACTGCAAGTTATTCTCTTCAAAAAACTGCTTCAAAGCCATTCTGCAAATATCAACACCTACAACGTGGTGTCCCATATCAGCTAACCTGAAAGATAAGTGCAACATTCATTACTGGGGGATAACGCATATACATATGCCGTGCAATTGGGACAATCTGCTTATCATAATGGCACTGGGGTAACATTTTTATTACCATATCTTGAAATCAACCAGTCAAACACAATCAACTGTGGACTCTGACTACCCTACCATGTTCACATATTATGCAGTGGTTCTGTGACCCCTACTAA